CAGACAGATGCGTAAAGTTGGAAGTTTGCTCCGAAGAGAATCAATAGGTTTCAATGACAGGTAGATCTTAAGCTACCATAAACTCAATCAAGTACTGCGATCTTACAAATTGCATAGTCCATATATCAAATGCATCCCCTCCTCGCCCCTCTAAGCTGCTCATCACAGTAGATCCCTAGTATTTAAGTCCTTAGTAGGTGTCATCCATCTCAACTTGGTAGTTCTTGACGAGGTGAAAGTCTGAAAAAAGCAAATCTAATACATGATATTCATCAGTTGTTATCGTAGATTGAGGGGAATCCATCTCCCTCATGTCACCCATCATATTTTCGGGTTAAACTTATGGCCATTGGTCACCTCTGGTACTTGGGTATATCTAGTACATATAAAAATAAGGAGATCGACCCGAGCAGGCGTTGATGCATCGCGTGAGTGAATCATTCTTATCTTATCGATATTTATATCGATACATATTCCAATACTTGGTCAGATGACTATGTAGGTATGATTCAATATAGTTTGCTTACTATACTCTCATGATTCATTGGATACCAGTTCTTTCCAAATAGCATTGACTTTCTGATTCGAGGAATCTCAATGAAATGTAACATGCCATTCAACATTATCCAACCATTATCCGTTATTCATTGTCCATTGTCTATTGTCCATTGTCCATGATCAATTAGCCATCAGACCTCATTTTTCCCGTCGGTACCGATACACTGGAGCCAGTCTCCAGTCATTGAAAGGTACTGTGACCTGTTACGAGTAAATACCCAGGTACCTAGTATCCATTGATTGCCCCCGAACCCCCTATAATCACACTCCGTAAACCAAATTTCAACAATTTACGATTTACCTCGTATTTGGACATACCGGTAAAACAACATCTCTTTAGTATATATGTATACGGATTAAAATATTATGGCTCTTAACAAACCTCCGTTACCGGTAGCTGTCGAAAATGATCCAAAATCACACAATTCCATCACCTGACGTCTTTATCTAGTTCGAGTTGCTGCTTTTATTCGCCACCTACCTAGTAGGTAAAGGTATAGGTAGGTACCCACCCAAGTAAAAAGTACCGGTCATCATTGTTGCCCCAGCAGGTCCTTTGCTTTAAATTGTATGTATCCTTGCTTATATAATCATCCATCTCTCGGCACACTCGCACACTCACACTGTGTCACACATTCACCCTCCGAGTCTCCCTCGAACCTCCCACCGTACTAGCTATTTTTTGGTATTGTATCTCCATTTTTGATCCACAGAGAGTGCGTAAGATACTTTCTAAGCGAGCAAATCAAAGCTCGAGATGGGTCATTAAAAGTGGAAATTGAAAATCAAAGTTCAAACTTAATCAAGTTCGGGCCAAGTCTCCACTCAGACGCCCCATAAACGCCTTCCCCTTCCCCTTCTCGTTTCCTCTCCTCCCCTCCCCTCTTTTACCTCTCACTCTTTTGAGTTACTCCCAAGCCCAAGCAAAGATGATGCTTCTTTCTCTCTTCCGTAGGTATCTAACAAGCTTTTTCGTATCCAATACAACTCATTAGCTGAGATTAGCACTCCGCCGACTAGGTATAAAATGGGGAAAGAATGAAGAAGAAAAAATAAAAGAAAAAGAAATGAAAAGTAGTGGGAGTTGATATAACAATTATATGCTTGGGTATGTCCGTCATCACATTGTTCCTTCACTCAAGTCAAAAAAGAAAGACATACATACCGGTTTAGTATCTTTTCCCTGCCCTTCTCCTCCTTCTCTTACTTCTTCTTCCTCTTTTAAACAACCGCCGTCGCTGTTTCCTACCTACAATATATACCCCCCATTGAACGATCGATTTTACTCGGTCAATTTACTTCTTAAGCTGTATTCCTTGTATCAAAAACAGTTGGTTTATTTCATAAGGTTATTGAATCAATCAATCTATCTGCCAATCTATCTATCAATCTATCAATCAATCTATCAATCTATCAATCCACTTTTACAATTATTAAATCTCATCCATCGTTCGAGAACATTGTAATCCTTACATCCATACGGAGGACATGTACACATGCAGAGTACATACTCCGTATATATCTAATCCATAAACTAATCCCCATTGGTTACACAATCTCTTGTTTTCTTCTACCTTGTCCTACCTGCCCTGTCAAGCTATTGTAACATACATTTGTGCCTCATTGGTCTTGCTTTCCCATTCTCTCGGGTCCTTCTTTTCAGATCGGATCGTTCAGAAAGAGGTATGTTGTACCGTCTTTTTGTTTTGTTGCTGTACGAAGTACACTTCGTTGATCATTCCAATAATCATCTGGAAGGTTGTTGGAAGGCAACATATCGATCGTATGCTACCTCCGTAAGGATTATGCTCGTTTGCTGTTTTCCCATATAGTTATTATGAATCTATAGTACAAGATATAATACTTGGATGATTCCTCTACACAAAGTCCTCCAAAAGCACATGAATATATCTTCTTCTTTATATATACTTATATATACCTATACAAGCAAAGGAGCTAATGCCCTTTCTTTTCATAGTACAACAATATCAGCATGAGCATGTAGTTCGGGATAGGTCCTCGAAATCTTCCAAAACTCTCAAATCTCTCAAAACCACTTTCACCCTTTTGGTCAACCAACAATCTTTTCCTGATCAAGGATAAAGGTCAGCAGTTCTTGTCTTCGCATCAAAAATCCCAATATGTCATCAAGTCAATCAAATATTGACCAATTTGACTCTCATCAAAAATCTGCCCTCTGTGTGGAGGAATCAAATTCGACATCTCCAACCCCAGAAATCAAGCTTGATCAACATGGATTACCATTGGTACCCCAGCCCAGTCGCTTTAAAGATGATCCATTGGTATGTTGTAATTTTCTAATCATGACCCGATATTGCCGGGTTATCTCAAGATTCCAAATACATCCTTTCATCTTAACAAGATTTTATCCATTCGATAAAGAAAGTACATAGTTGATGATCGACTAGAACTGGCCAGCATGGCTCAAATGGGCCGTCTTGATTCAAGTTGGCTACATGGCATTCTTAGGACCTTACAATGCTGCACTCGTGAATCCGAGTCTGGTTCTCCTGAGTGATGCGCTTAATGTTAGTCCAAAAGTGGCTTCGTACAGCACAACTACGGCAATTATCATGGGTGGTGTTTCACCATTCATTTATGCGCCTTTGGCGAACATCTATGGTCGTAGACCTATCACCTTATTTGCAATAGTTTTGACTATTATTGGAGGAGTAACATCGGCTCGTTCAAACACTTTTTCACAACTTGTGGGTACACGTGCTCTTTGTGGCTTTGGGTTCGGTGGAATGATGTCGGTGGGTACCGCCTGTGTGAATGATATGTTTTTTCTCCATCAGAGAGGCGAGGCTACTGGTGTATACTCCCTCTTTGTTACGAACGGTGCTCATGTGGCTGCGATTAGTGAGTCAAGCCACCTTCAGTTTTACGCTTTCCTCGAAAATCCAGCTAACATAATCAATTTAGTCGGCGGTTTCCTTGGCTCATCCCTAGGCTGGCAATGGGACTACTGGATTGGAGTCATCAGCACCTGCGTTTCTCTCTTTCTCGCCATTTTCCTTTTTCCAGAAACTCTCTTCTCTCGCGACCCATCTTACCTCTCCACACGCGCCAAAACCCGGACGTACTATGAACTTCTCTTTGATTTTCGCGGGAATTGTCTCCCTAATCGCTCACTCCAATTTTCTCACTTCCTAGAATCTTTCTACATGCTCCGCTATCCTTCGATTCTCTTTCCATTCTGGTACTACACATGGGGATGGACTTTCATCAACGTCATGCCTGCCATCTCTATCGCCGCCATCTATACTGAATTCTATAACCTGAAGTCTGGTCCAATAGGTGCCTGTCTGGGAGTCTCACTCATGATTGGTAGTTTATTGGGAGAATTCAGCGCTGGAAAAGCAAGTGATTTTGTCATGTATCGTATGGCGAAGAAGAATGGAGATATAAGGAAACCAGAATATAGACTTTATCTTTGTTGCTTATCTGCGGTATTCATGCCAATGGGATTGATTGTTTTTGGAGCTACGGTGGGGAAAACTCATTTTATTATTCCGCTCATTGGGCTGGCTCTTGGTATGTTCATGGTTCACTTGCTTTTATTTTCCATTTCATTCCCTCAATGTTCCTCTTTCTCTGAACCCCTCTTCCCTATCCTTTCCCATGAAACCACACTTCGAACCTTCTTTTCAAACCTTATTCTCCCGCTTCAACCCCACTTCTTCCCTTACCTAACCCTGCCTAACATTCCTCCGCAGGTGTCTTCGGTCTTCAAATCGCTTCCACAACCCTCTATGCCTACGTCTCAGACTGCTATAAGCCACAAACTCCCGAAACAGGCGTTCTCTTCAATCTCTCCCGCGGTCTCTCGTTCGTAGTCGGATATTTCGCGTTGCCATTTGCAGATAAAGCAGGATTTACATGGGCGTGGTTTACGTTTGCAGTTGTGTTATTTGTGTTTTTTGGACCAGTTGGGGCATTGATTTGGAAGGGAGAGCAGTGGAGGATACAAGGGGGGAAACCAGGGTTCCATGGGTGGCTGTAGGGTGTTGTGGGTAAGAGGAGGACATGTATAAAAGTTTGCGTTGATGAAATGTGGATGGTTTGTGAGGCTGGGTTTGAATTTTGGCGAGATGATACCTAAGTGAGGTGGAGTTTTGGTCGATTACGTTGTGTTATGATATTGTATGATACAGTGCGGTATAAGATGGAGAGGATGGTTTTTTGCTAATATTGTACTATGTTGTTGTTGTTTATAATGTAATGTGTTATACTATTCGATAGAATTATTCAAATGCTAGGAGCTAGGAATGGTATCCTTCTTATTCGGCAACTCAACTCGAAAGCTACAAGAACAAACTACCTCTCTTCGTCCAAGAAATCCAACACAAAGACTAATCGATACCCACTCTATCTTACCCATACTGTCCTATTGTATCCTACAACCAAAAAACCCAATCTCATCGCCGAATCCATGGATGAGACCCCGATTCCCCCGCGCTCGAAAGTCGAAACGGATCATTAAGTCCAAATGGATCACTAGAACGCGGTGCGTGGAATGACTGGCTGGGGGTCTGACCTTTTCGCGATTGTGCTCGCGATCGGGATTGTGAGCTTGAACCTGAAGAGGAAGAAGGAGGGGGGTGATGCGAAGAAGAAGATGAAGAAGAAGTAGAAGAAGAGGAAGAATTGCTATACTCAGCGATCTTAGCGTTATAGATGCGTTCACGGATCGCATCTTCATGTTCGCGTTGGTTACTGAGGTTCCAAATAGAGGGCGAGACATCTTTTTTGGGGTGGGCGCCATGGGAGGAATGGGGGGAGGAGCGGGAAGAAGAATAGGAACGATCGGAGTGCGAGATGGAGGAGCCGGGATTGACGGATGATTTGGATACATGTGATTTCGCATCGTCATTTTCATCGTCGTGGGGGTTGAATTCGTCTTCGGACATACCGATTCCGGAATCGTGATCGGGGGTTTGATCGTGATAGGAAGAGGGTGGAGCCCGAGAGCGAGAGCGAGAGCGAGAGTGAGATGAAGATTTGCGTCGGGGATTGGAACTTGAATTTGCGGAAAGGGAAACGGAGAAGGAGATGCGCTTGGAGGGGTTGGAGGAGGTTTTTTTCGACCAGCTGTGTGTGCTTGAGGGTGGGTTGTGGGTTGTTCGGGCTCTGGAGAGACGTCGGTGGGATTCGCGGGTTGAGCGGCCGAGGGAACGTTGAGATGGGGAGGAGGACGCAAGTGAAGAGGAGGATGACGATGAAGATGAAGATGAAGAGTCATCATCCTCATACCCTCCACTCTGAGCCCTTCTCCCCTCAATCATTCCCTTTTCGTACTTCGAGATTCCTCCCTTCCTATCCTCAGTCTCGAGAGTCTCTGCTTCCAGAATCGAGTCTTTGACTTCACATGGTTTGTGCTCCCGCCCCCAGCGCAGTAATCTCTCTTGAATCCAAATTCTTACAACGTCATTCGTGAATGTCTTAAAAGGACACTCCATACCCCGTTTCACGGTTTTAGCCAGCTTGCATGCTTTTTTCATGCGGGATTTGCCGTGAATGTAGCCGAGGTATTCGAGGTTGCTGAGGAGGGAGGTTTGGGTGGCAGTGAGAAGAGAGTTGGATGAGGAGCGGGAGGAGGGGGGAGTGATGGATTCGTGGTAGAAGCATTTGAGAGAGGAGGGGGTAGAGTTAGTCGCGTCGGGATCGAAGAGGAAGAGGAGCTCAGTGCTGAGGAGGGGGTTACTCGTGGAGAGACTATAGACTTGATATCTGGGCATGGTTTGGGATGGAGGGTGAGTATAGAGAGGTTGACGATAATGATGATGATAAGAATGGAATCAATGAATTTATTTCGGTGATGTTGGGGATGGTGTAAGAAGTCGAGGAGGGTGTTGAAGTTATGCGGATATAAATCTACAGCCACTAACTGTGTAAGTGTTCCTTTGACATAGAAATGGTAAAGCAAATTGAGGTAAAATATGACGATTGTGAATATCTGGGTTGAACGATCCGTCAAAATTGAAAAAATCAACCACCAACAACTCAGCACAAACATACAAACATATAACCAGCAAAATCCCGCATCGGCGAATGTGTATTGTTGGCGGTTCAAAAACAGGTCTCGAGACCATTGCATTGCCAAATCCAACCCAAACGTCAAATCGCTCTTGCGAAAGAGATTATTAGACCCGAGGAAAAAATTTCTTTCCAGGCCGGTTGGCGGCCGCTTTTTTGGTCTATCTTCTATCATTCATGAAAACATTACCACTCGCATTTGAAGTTATTTAAGGCAGGATTTCTTTGAAACATTCATTCATGATGCCTGGGCTGTTTTAGTATAAAAGACCGATAATTCCTTCTCGCTGTCCTCTGGGGTTGAAGTGGCAATTTTCATTTTCTATCTTGAGATAAGGTTGTTAGGAATTGAAATTCTGTGTGGTAAGCGAAATGTTTCTTTGTGATCCAAAGCAAGAGAAGAATATCGGCCATTGAGATTTGAAACTTTATTTTTGACCTGTGGTGCTTTGTTGGTTGGAATATGTCAGAAAGAAAGGGGGGTTGAGGGGGTATTAGTCATTATCTGCCGCTATGTTTGATGTGAGATTCAAATCATGATATTCAAACGAAATTTAGTATGCCTATACAGAATGAAAAATACAGAAAACGGTCTAAAGAATGTGCTCTAAATTAAGGACTTAAATCAAGGAAATCAAACAAGAAATCCTGAGCGTGTTTCCAACTACGTCGGATGATTGCAGTAATGTGTTTGTTCCGTTCCATTCGCGACGGTAAGGTGCGGATCCCCATCGGTATGTTACATCGGATTTTTTGATTGAGGTGGCTCCAATGAATACCCTGTAATGAATATTTGTTTTTTGTGTTACCCTGTTCTATGAGAAATTACGAGCGGAAGTTGAACTGATATGAGAAAGCTCTAGTCGTCTCTCACTCTTTCGTCGCATATTGTATTCAAGAGTATTCAATAATCGTGAGATCATCATGGCTGATTCCTCTCAACAGCATCCAAAAGTTACGTGCGCCAACGTTGATCAAGATGAAGATGATGGAGGGACTCCATGTACTAAAATCGCCTCGAAAGCTTGCAATGGGTGCTTTCTGGTTCAATATTGCAGCAAAGATTGCCAAGTTGTACATTGGAAAACCCACAAGAAGGATTACAAATCTCCATTTATGAAGAAATCTTGGAGACCACAGTAGGATGTGGAGAAACGACGTCCGGCATTTATTAGTGGCGACGATGATCCTGCTCTAGCTGAGCCGTGGGTAACTATGGTACAACACGGAAGAAAGAAGCATCTATGGTGTAATGTTCCTGCCATTGATATAATCCAGAGTTGCAAGAATGAAGAAAAAGATTTGCTAGAAGAACTCAATCTTTTATTTGCGGGTAAGGGTCAAGCCCATGTATAAATCGCGGACTGACAAGGCTACAGCATCTGGGGATATTAGAAATGTTGTAAAGTCTCTCGTTGAACTTCCAGTTACGTATGAGGGCAAATGTGAGCTTATAATTAACGACAAGGATTTTGATATTGTCGCCCGAAATGTAATGTTGCTCTTCACAGCTCTCGTATTCGACCCCATTGGAGCAGCAGACATCATGATTCACATCTGGTACTCTGCATTCATACCCGAGTCGTACTTGCGGAAACTTCGAGAAAAAGTACTCCCGTTGATTGAAGATGTTTGTGAAAAAGTAGCTGGCCGCCCTGGGCAATCTTTGCAATCGAAAACGTGGACATTCGGCACTCGCAGCATAAGTTTGATATTGCCGAAGGCTTCTTGGGATCTTCTTCCTTCGTTTTTCAAGGTTCCAGATGGACTATCAGCTAGCAAGGCACAGAAAGTAATGGTTGACACTACATTTCCACCCTCGAGAAGAGATTATGTCGAGCGAGAATTTTATACTCGACCACCTGCCTGGCGTGTCTGTGCTACTAAGTTCCGTACTGACGGCATACTTCTTCCCTTCGGAAATTCTCGCAAGGATTTCACTATGCCAAATCCGTAAATACCTTCAAGTCTTTTGAAAGTGTACTTGCTGATGCAGTGACAGAACTTTGTTTCAGAGCACTGAATTCTGGCCCATGATGGATTCTGCCGACCCATTGGAAGGATGGCCTCTCGAAGAACACCTTTCTAAACCTTCACTGGCTCGAAACGATATCTATGGCAGCCTTTACTTCTATCTTCAAGACCAACTTCGAAGCTTTTGCAAGCGAATTGAAAATTTGAAAATCCGCTTTCAACTATTCGAACTTAATGCAGTGAATCTGCCAGGTATCATGAAGGAGCGTGGCATTGGAAAATGTTATTTCGACAGAATCGAGGTAATCTTCAACCGGTTGTAAACGTAGTATAGATTGTTGACATTCTACAGGTTTCAAACATTGGAGACTGTGGCTACATTGGACCTCGAAAACTTCTGATGACTTTCGCTCCTTACCTGAAGCGTAAATCACAGAATCCGCACGCCACACTTCTTGCTTTATTCCTCAACGCTGTCCACGAGAGCCGCACTGACAAGGACTACATTGATAGCATAGAAACTGATTCAGCAAAACTACATAGGTACATGACAATTCAACGAGACATGCTTCAGCCTTACAATGCAGACTTTCTGAGATACAAAGATGCGCGATCTCGGTTTCAAGACCTTGACGAGCTCTTTGATAGGTTTATGAAGGAATGTTGCTTGCATGAAATCAGTCAAATGGAAGGGTTAAGAATAAAAACCAAGAACACATTAGTTGAGAAATGGCCTTTGAGGTTACGAAATGGGGCAAATCAGGAGGAATTGATAGGTTAATGGCATCGGGGCATCTGGGTTCGGAAAGATATGTAGAATGGGAAAGTTTGATATAGGATTGACTTGAGAAGTCTGGAAGATTCGAGAGATGAAAGGTAGTAGGAGAAAAAAGAGAAAGGCAAAGGGAAGAGAGGAAAGAGAGGAAAGAGAAGAGAGGTAAGAGATTCACAAATAAGCACATATCTTCTAATAAATCTGGAAGGTTCTACCCCATCAGACGCTCTTGCTTCGAAAGTCAAGTTCCTTAGCGTACTCAATTAGACTGTTAAGCGTTTAAAAGCAACTTCACCAAAGTACCCTTTCATTGCACTCCACTAATCACTACCCGCCAATCATATCTCTATTTGCGATATAACTTCGAATAATACTTTCGTCTCAAACTTATCCTCTTGACATAAACTATCAATCAAGGGATAATTTGCGCTTCGATCAGCACTTTAACAGATGTTCTTTGATCTTCACTCTTTTCCGCGACGGTGAGGCATGAGACCGCGTAAGTTTCACTAGGTACTTTCAGCTTTCATTACGTTTGGCTGCCGAAGATAAACAGTGAGCAAGAGCGATTACATTCTTTCTGATCGTTGGTAATATCTAAGAACTATCCGTATCGCCGGGTAATCTCAAAGGTGGACTGGAAAGCAATCCCATTCTCATGCCAGGTTTCAACACATTCGCTATCACGATTTCCAACAGAGCCATATTGTTACTCTTGTTTTATCTTCAAAAATAATCAGACTAGGGGCCTACTTTGAAATTGCAAAGTCAACTCGAAGTTTGTTAGAAGAAATAAGTGTTCATCACAAACAATTTCACACTCCCTACCAAAGAAACCCAACACATCAACAACTTTCGAACGCCATCCATCCGACGAGAGAACCAAATCTCTATGATGATACCCTGCAAGTACTTCATAAATTCCACCGGGTGCGGTCGTGGCAGCACTTGTCAATACAGCCATGATACAACAATCACAAAACACATGCCTGATGTAATTCTTTCATTGATTTCAGACGAAGAAAATCCGCCTCTCGGTCATAATTTACGTCCTATAGCAACAAAACTTATTTCTTGTAGGTTCCTTGCGAAAGGCCATTGTCAGAAGGGTGAAGACTGTCCTTTTAGCCATAGAATTGAGCCATCAACTCCATCGCAAAAAACATCTACCACTCCACTCTGTAGCTTTTTTGCCAGAGGAATATGCCAAAGGGGTAATAACTGTCCTTTCAGTCATGAGATTGAAGTGAAAGCTTCTCCAAAAACTCTCGTCCGCACAACCTGCATTTTTTTGCCAGAGGAAAGTGTACAAAGGGAAGCGATTGCCCTTACCTACACAGCAAAATTGAGCCCGATCACAACGAAACCAAGCCTCCAGATACGCAATATACCAAGAAGACTTACCCATTTTCTTCCACTGCCATTGATACATCATCTGCTGTTCTAGATGTACCGTCCGCAGTCACTAAGAATTATGTATGGCTTCCCCCCTTTTCAACGTGCCAGTATTTTTGAAGTGAAAACTGATATATTATCTATGATAATGTACCAAAAGGAATGATTGCACGAGCAATCTCTGGAACCTTGACAATCTTTAAAGATGGAGGAAAAGTCTACAAAATTTCGGTTCCGTCTGACTTTACAGCTATCCGAATCGCCGGCTTGCCACAGGATACCAGAATCGAGTACATTGAGACAATTCTAGCTAGACTCGACCTTGGCACATATGGAACTTGCATTCGAATTACTAGCATTGGTACTCCGCCCTCCGTTCTTGCCTACCTGCGACTTGAAGATTCCACCGTTGGCTCAGTTCTAAGCGAAAAATTGGAGTCTGGTTGGAGAAAATTTAAGATGTACTCTGAATTAAAGGCGAGCCTAGTCCCTACAAGTTTGCTTCCCGTCTCTGGATTTTCAGGTGAAGTTGACTTCCATGAAGTGTTTTTGAATTGGTATCGATCTTCCAAGATGGCCGTCCTGAAATATGCAAATGAGGACGTCGCCAATATGATATGCATCAACTTCAACAACGGCTACTACAGAGTTGTAGGAAAACATTTAGCTTGCGACTCGCCTATTGTCTCTCACATCTTGACCGATCAAAAACACAGATTTCTATGTATCTTGAAGAATGTACCGGTGTTTGCAGAAAAAGAGGACATCTTAGGTGCGATGGATGAGAAACACCGACCTGATGAATTGGAAATTGGCAGAGCGAGCTATGAGGCATCTGACGAAGAATCTCGTGAATGTATCAAGAAATTATGCTCAGCCATTGGCCCCGTAGAGTCTTGGGATCCTGTACAAGATCCGGCAGCCAAGAGAGTTAAAGTAAGGGTACGATTTCAAGACGAGTCAGATGCCCGAGAGGTGATTGCACAATTACACAATAGAAACATTGAGATATTGGGAAAGGGAAAAATCATGGCTCAACAAATTATTTCGACTCGTTTTAAAGTTGTCACAAAGATATACTCGGCTGTACAATCGCAAGTTGAAGATGAAAAGAAGGCACTGATAGGGTAGAGAATTACCATCAGGGCATACCCAAGCACTGATGTCGCGAAGAGGTTCACAACTTTAAAGATTGACGGGAAGCCCGGAGAGAACTTTGCCAACGCCAAAAATAAGCTGGAGAAGATATTGATCGGTACGGTGGCTCTGGTAGGGGGTAAGCCAGTTTGGAACGACTACTTCATGCAACCAATTGGATTGATGAAGATCAAGAGGGTTGCAAACGATTGTAACATTGTTATTGATCGAGACAGAACAAGACAACAACTTCGGCTTTATGGTTTGCCCAGAGATATCGACAGCGCTCAACACACACTTCACAGAATTGTCACATCAGAAGTAGAAGGCTACGCTATTAAGCTCACTCCAAGTGATTTTTCGTGGGTAACAGGTGGCGGATTTGATCAAATAGTATCAATTCTTGGAAAAGATGTTGCTTCGATTGATATATTGTCGAATCCAAAGAAGATCTTACTTGCTGGGAATTTCAAGAGCTACCACATTGCCATGGCAGTCTTAAAGTCCAGGAGTACTGCTGCTGGCAGGATTGACAAGATGGAGACAGGTGAAGAAAAAGACAACTGTAGTGTTTGCTGGTGTCCTGCTGAGTATCCAATCCGCACCAACTGTGGCCATTTGTATTGCCTTCAATGCTTTGACCATCTATGCTCCTTGGCTATACCTAGCGACCAAGAGCTATCCATCAATTGTAAGGCTATTAGATGCGATGTCGTCCTCTCCCTACAGGAAATTGAGCAAAATCTACCATCCAAAAGTTTTCAGCAGCTGCTTAATGCATCGTTCACTTCGCATATTCGTCATCATCGCAATGACTTTGATTATTGTCCAACTGAAGACTGCGAACAAGTATACCGGGTCAATACTCCCACCAAATCTCGCACTTGTGCCAAATGTCTCGTTGAGACCTGTATCCCATGTCATGCGTCTCATCAAGGCCAAACCTGTGCAGACTACAAAAACAAGAAGAATGTTAGAGCTGAAGCACATGCCAAGGAAGAAGAAAAATGTGCTAATAATTTGAGAATCAAAAATGAAGGTTTGGAACATGAGAAAGGTGTTGAAGAGGACTTGGTTAAGTTTCATGTTCCTAAAGTAAAACGGGGAATGGGTATCCATGGTACTCAGATGCTTGGACGAATCCAGCAGGAGCTTGGTGGATGGTGAAGTCTGAGTCTTCGTGAGCAAGATGCTTGTTTTCCAATCTTCAAGGAAACGTAGGTTCTTGGCTGGCTCTCTGGGTTGTCTTCACCTACCTTCCACAAACAAGGGCGAAAACTATTTGCATGATAACATCGTAGAGCTATATTGCAGACCGCCTAAAGAATTCAAGGTCATACAAATTCATCTTTTTTTCGGAGGTGATTGGGATGTATACATGAGAAGCAGCAATTCGTATGCTTTAATGTGATGATGCTAACAGGTAGCGAAAAAGGAGCGGACAATGTCCCCAAAACGCGAATTTTCAACCCAGAGTCCATCTGTCTATTCTATTTGTCCACTTTATAGCTCCATTTAAGATACTCACTTGCCTTGACCGATGCCGTCGCCTCGACAAAAGCTGGGGCTGAATATGCTGGGAAAGTGTCTGTAAGGGATGCCACCGGTGACTCAAATGAGGAAGCTTGATAGTGCCCATGGTAACGGTATCTGCTCCGTTCCTTCTACATATAAATTTAATATAGGATCTTTCGAGTAGATAAGCTGCCCCTATGATAGATCTTGTTAGTACTTGCACTTTTCTAAGAGACTTAAACTTCCAGATACAGTACCGTACCTTTCTTTATTTTCAGAGATATCATTCATTATATACGTTTCTTCTCAATATCTTATTCTAAGACTTACTCGAGCTTCATTCACCCTTGGTATACAAATATTTAAGCATTTCACTTTTATCAGCATTCTAAATATCTATTGCATCAGTAGCATTAGCAATATTTCAGCTTACCAACATCCGAATTATCCTCTCATCTTGTCAAAGGCGCTTTACTCTTGCAGTGTCAACTTCTTTGCTGAACGTCAACGTCAACTTTATTACGCCCATATTTCCATAATCTCAACTGCGACAGCCAACAGGTGGGTGCTAAACGGAGATAGAATGCCTGGGACTAACGTGAACATCCCAAGATAGGATACAAAGGTTTGCTGATAATATTGAAGCCCAGGGAACAACATGAATACACCACCGCAGCCAACTTACACAGACGCAAGGAACTATATCCATCAAATTCGGGTACGTCACATCATATGATCAATCTCTACAATCATCAACGACGACACATATTGACTTCACCACCTCAGAACACATTCCAATACACTCGCCCCGGAATATATAATGAGTTTTTGGATATCCTGCGTGCATTTGTCATACACGCGTCGACCAGAGCGACGACGATCCAGTGGGTTAATCTGTTGGACTTCCGTTATCTGGATATCATCTATGGCTTCAAATTATTCTTGCCAGATCGGGAAGCCAGACGCCTGGTTGATCTTAGGATCTTGTATCTGGCGCTGCAGAATTGGTTGAGGAGATGTAGGGGCGTGGAGTGGAGTCATTCGGATTGGTCTCGCATCTGGGATTCGAGAGGAGAGTGATGAGTGGAGTTAGCGTGTGTTGTGTTCGAATGAATGGTTAGCGTATATGTTTACTCGCGGAAGAGCTTAGAATGGATGAGCGGTATTGCCATGGGTAGCCGCAAATCGGTCTCTTTCAAACCGTGGAATTTTGCACATGATGTATTTGTGATATATTGACATACGCGATCGCTCAAACAGTGATATTGTGTGATATTAGCAGTACGCATACCAACATGTAATCTTACATGTATAGACCTACACTTGAGCGAAGCGCCAGTTTTACTGTCGCACCAGAAATATATTCTCCCACGTCCACGGGTATCGTATTTGGTACAAGCGAAATCAGATCTCAGACCAATGAACTTGCATTGAGAAATCTGAATTCTGCTCGCGCTCTTCTCTCGTCTCGTGTCATGTCGTCGAGTTGAATCGAGTTGAGACAAGTCAAGTCAAGTGAAGTATGTGTGGACTAGGTACTTTGCATTTTCTACGTGTACCTACCTAGGTAGATAGCCATAGAAAAATTCATCGATTTCTCCACGATTCTTTGTACTATTGCAATAGAAGATTAATATCTCGAAAAGTAATAGTGCATGGAATGTACTATACTCGATGATTGACACGAAAGACAATGTATGTGTTGGTTTATCAAAGTTCATAATTGTTAGTGTTTGTTTGTTTGGACGATCAGATTGATGCCAAACGGCCGCAAGTGCGGATATTGATTGAAATTGATGATTTCGTTCCTTGCGCATGCGAATGAAACGTTGAAGCTTTTGTAGCAGGAAACTTCGATTGTGATTATGATTGTTTCCCACGATTTGCGCATGCATACATGTTTCGGCAATGCAATTAAAATCCATTTTGTGATGGTTGCTCTCTAGCTTGGCTTGCAAGCGGCTAAAACATGTCCTTGGACAATTCACTTTGTTCATGTACATGCAACAAGCCTCGATTGAACCATTATATTGATGGTACACATGAGATGGGAATTCCTTCAGGCTTTTGTTATCGACCGTTGCCGTGTTGGAATTTCTATATAATGCGGCTTCTTTTTTATCGGTGCTGATGCAACCAGAGTTCATTGGATCTCATCTTTCGCAATATCATAGCATCAAATTTTTTTACTTTTAAAACGGCTACTTTGTATTAGTGTCATCGATCTTACCACAGTAAGGATATTCACTAAGAAGAGAAAGAACAATGAAAGACATGAAGCAGTGCAAGCGGAGCTATATAGTACAATAAATGGCGGTGGGAAGCAACGGTCTTCCCACACATCCAGCGGACAAAGCAACAGGAGAGAAGGCATACCCGATCATGTCAAACAGGAAGCTTTACGACGCGCACAAGAATTAAAGGATGAGATAGCAACATCGTTGGATCGGTGTAAAGAAATTGAAAAAAACCCAAGGAAGAACACATAGATCGGGTGGGACGAAAGACCACACTGACTCCTCCCAAAGTCAAAGTCAAAGTCAAAGAAAGAAGTGATCCAATGGACTCGACATGGAAAAGAAGCTTTTGAAAAAATATTCGCGATAGTGAGTGGCATGTCGACTCAAATGAGGAACAACTGCTCTTGAGGATGCGCTCTACAATGTTCATTCCACTGGAAGACTTCACTAAGGGTGAAGGGATGAAAGGTTATGACTGTTTGGATACAAGGCTATGACTTATTAGCGACTCTTGTTTGATCCGACACAGAATTAGAAAATTACATTCGATTGCATGGGAGTGTAGGATGGAAAAAAACATGTTTGTGCAATACAATCAAGCTAATGATCATAACATAATCACTGACTATGAAGATGTTGAACTCGTGAGACATAGAGAGAGTCTATGCTTCATCACCCCAAATTCTGAATCAAATACTGTGATTCCAATTAACCCTCGTCTAGAGGATATGAAAATGCTACATCGTAGAGAAATGTACCAGTCGGGATTTGGGCTATTGAAGATGATCGTTCGATTGACTCGAAGCTTTGTGTGTAAAGGAGAACAGCGAGCGTAGACCAAAATACATCATACGGTGTACACCGATAATTTGCCACCAAAAGCCTGATCCATTGATATATTTTTAACAATCCGAGTAATGCTGTGTGGATATGAATTAGTACTGATTAACCTACATGCGTGTAGGTATTGGGTAAAGACGGCGCAAGATGAGACAGGTAATTGCTCCGCCATGACAGCTGTCCTGGTCGGCCATCACCAATCTGCATAGCATGTATGATTATCACCCTGGTGTAGAAGAAAATAGAAGAGGCCGATAATCAGCCCAGCGCTTTACGAAACCCAGTCGAGGATACTTGAAAATTCGCTTCCAAGATTGCAATTGAATGGATGTATCGACGAGAAGAAGATGAAAAGATGTCACCTCTATCTACCATACGGCCCATACCCCAATTGGATCTAGTTTCTGCGCAGAAGCGACGTGCAGATGTGAAGACGTGCAGAAAAGGTAAGCAAGCCCACTCACTCACATACTTGAGCCCACTGAGCCCACTTGATATGGATATCAGCTCACGTGCTATATATGTACCCAAAGAGAATGAACCAATGTCACGCTAAGAACAAGTCACACCCACATCTGCAGAGGCCTAATATTAGCTCTTCCGATGTTTTCATGTCTTCGATGGCTGTTCTGAAGCCGAATCGGAAGGGATTGTGAGATGGATGTCAAGATAAGCTCGTCGTTATCGTTATCACACAATAGTAATAAGCAAGCGTGGCAAGCGTGGCAAGCTATTGAATGTTCTCTCCCGTTGTGATCACATGCTTCTTTTGAGTTTCGACCCTGGTGGAATCAACCTTGCTTTCGTCCTTTTTTTTTTGCTTGGATTTTTGACTTGGATGCTACTGTGCTTGCATATATGATATGGGGTTTCTATTTCTATAAATATACATGTATGAATATGTAGGTGTACCTAGGTAGGGAGATATATCATGTCCATCGCCACGAACCGTCTTCGTCAAGTGAAGGGAAGAGAAGGGAAGTGAAGTGAGGAGAAGAAAAGGGACTTTCACGGTGATCAGGCCCAATCGAACTCATGGATCCATGACAATCAGAGCGGGATGGATGGATTCGATGAAAAATGAAAGAAAGGTCGGTCGGTCCACTTCTCACCCAAGTGACTTTGTGGGGGGGGAATCACGGATAGGTAACGGATGGGTAACGTAACGGATGACGGAGTTCCCGATCACATATCAATCACACCGCTCGCTATGAATTCGACAGTCAGTCAAAATTTGCATATCAAATGATCAATGGTTCGATCGGCCGTGAATCGTGCGTGAGCGACAGTGCCAATGGATGGATGTTGATAAGATGCGAAATCAAGAAATGTCAGAATGGAGTCAGTCTGTCAATTTGTGAAGTTTGGTGAGTGATAGAGCAAGTAATAGTAATAGTAGGTAATAATAAATCATTTGCAAGGAAGAGATTCATTCATTCAATTGACCCAAAATAGAAACATTCTTCCCTCTTCTTTAATCTTTCCTCCATCTAATCTTTGCGACATCAACCGTTTAGAAGGACCCCTAGATCAAACTAAAGCCCGGCCAGAATTGTCAGAGCCCCTCGTCTC